TAGGGACGTGTGCCGAGCTCGGCGACTAGCGCCTGTCGTCCCACGCGTCACATGGGTTGCATACCCGAAGGGGCCAGAAGGTGCCACAGTGAGCGACGGTACCACAACACCTACATACCAATTCTATGAAACTGTAGGTCTTGGTGGCCTCAACATCCAAATATAGTGTGCTTTTTTTTTTTCGACCTATTACGCAAATTTTAAATAGAACCAAGCGCAGACTAGAAAACAATTTCTTTGGCGCTGCGTGCCCGAGCGAGTGTCGCGCTGTCGCGCTATGCTACAATCGTGCAGCGACAAACAGGAATGTAGAGACAACGCTGTCGGGTGCAAGCTCCCACAACGTCTGACAGATAGGCAAAGACTTTACTGCAGTGAATGTGTTTACTGCGGGCTGGCCTACACCGCAGGCGATTATTTCGAGTAATTTGCCGAAATGATATTCTGAGAGAAAAGTGCATGTACTTTCTGAACGATAGAGAGCAAACCTGCCTGCACTTTTGCTGATGGCAGAAAACACATTCAAATTGTGTGCTAAAAAAAATCGACTAAGTCCAAGCACCCATAAATGTTGTTGCCATCTTTTGATATGTTGCGATGAACAAGAATTGATGTACAAGCAATTTTGTTGACCATGTTTATTTTGTAGGTTTCATGGACAGTTAAATAATACTATAGAGGTGATAATTAAAAACAATTTGTAGCCTTATATTTTACAGGTATTAAAACTGAGATTTTTTAAATATCGGTGTGTGGCCTCTTGTCGATGTATGCTTTAACAGATGGGTTGTTGAAAACGGCGTCCTTCACTTTGGCTAAATTGGGGTATTTGGCGTCAAAATCAGCTCCAATAATATCCTTGATGACGAGGGCTTCTAGGTAGGTGGCCAGCATTATGTCACTCCACAGGAGCTGAAAAAGGTCAAAATATATAAAATGATATTGTTTGATTCTGGGTTGTGATGCCAGGTAAGCTCGGGAAAGTGTGAGTAATCTGTTATAGAGAGTGATCTCACCGATTTTCCAGCAGAGAAACCTCCGTTCTTGGCTACTCTTTTGTCCAACTTCTCAAAGAACGCTGGTAGAACTTCAGTCTTCTGTGTTTCCAGCAGTTTTGCCTTCTTTTCAGGATCTTGTTCTTTGAGCACGCCTACAAAACCTGTAATGATAAAGAAAAATATGAATGTTTATTTTCGGAAGACACAATAAAATGTCAGCGTCCGAACCGACACGTCGCTACTCCGCAAGTCTGATGTCGGGGGTATCTCCGCCACATGGCGCTCCCATGTCAGAGCATCTATACTCTTCGCTCAGACGAGGGGTATTGTAGGGACCACTATTAGAGTCAGGCAAGCGCTTACCGGCTCTCGAGTCCTCGATGTGTGAAACGAAAACGTCGGCCTGGAGGCGCTCCATGTCGTCCTTGCCGTCGATGTTGAACTGTTTGGCAAGGTAGCGCGCCAGGGAGATGGACTGCTCGACCGGGACGCCGTCGATCTCGAGGACGGGGAGCTGGCCGAAAGGAGTTGCTGCGGCAGGAGGGAAACACACGGTCGTTAGATTGATAAAGTGAGTCGGGTGGTGCCACTACTGTGGAGTGGTGGCTGGCGGCGGCACGGGCAGCAGAACCATTCTTTCGTCTGTGCTAATACACTTCCGAAGTAATTAAATGTTTCATGAGATTTCGGACGGCGTGGTACTCACTCGGCTTGATGGTCTTCCACTCGTCCTGCGAGATGCGGTTATCCTCGTACTGCACTTTGGCGTACGCGAACATGACACGAAGGTGCTCCGCGCGCCCGCGGATGGGGAAGTACGTGAGCTTGTAGCTGGGCATGGTTGTTTCTGCAGAACAAATAGGAAAGAAAAAAATTTGAATTAGAGCGGTTTGAATGAACGACTCGAGAGGTCCGGGCGATGTTGGAAATAGGCGACAAAGTGTTATTTTAGATGTGGCCTCAGGATGTTGGTGGTGGCAGCCATATCTTATCAAAATCATACTCAAACAGGGGTGTGGTGGGACTATCGGGCGCGGCCCGCAGAGCGCTATATCTGACAATAATAGAGGTCCTCTAAAGTATGAAGTAAAAGGACCCGGAGTGAGGGGGGGGGGAGGCACCGACCCGCAATGCATTACTGAGACACGTAATGCAATTTATTCATTATGGAGAAAACGGAAAACTATCATACCCAAAACATATCACAAACCTTCTGAAAGCTGTCTGAGTCATGAAATACATTCTGTCCCCGGCACCCCGCCCTCTCAAATTTGAAATAAGAATTGGCCATTCTGCAATTAAAATTAATTTTCTCGTTCACGCTGCTCGCTGCTTGCAGGGAAACGCCCCAGACAGCAAGCCAGCGGACACCACCAGGTGGTAAGATGTCGTGTGACCCTGTGAGGTAAGGCACACTAGCCGCGGGAGAGCGCCGTGGGTAAAGGGCCCCGGATCAAGTCCGCAGCACCCGAAGGCCCAACCTCTATGCGGCAATTGTCTGATAGGCGATCGACCGCCCGTCCTCGTCCTGCCCGCCCCCCGCGCCGCCGGACGCCTGGACATGGAAAGCGGTGTGACCGCGAGCTGAGCTCGGGCACGCAGGGGGGCAGAGCAGGCAGAGTGGGGCGATGATGACGGCATGACGGCGAGCTTGGGGCCGGCTGCACGAGGAATCCCAGTGCTGCGGCAAGCAATGCCGGACCAATCGAAGGAGAGCGAACATCAGTATGTACCGTTCACCCTCCGCCCCGGCGCCTCCCGGAATTTAGACGGATACAACAACAAATCAAATGAACGCGACAAGGAAAACGACCAGGATATTCGAGAAATCCGCGACTCGGCAACACAAGCAACAACGGCGGAGACGACGTCGTGTCCGGGGGGACGACAATGACGGGGCAGATGCAGGAGGCCGAGGAGGAGGAGGCGGTTGTCAGAGTTACTCACTGTGCGTGACGAGCGCGGACGGCAACAGACGATGTGGACGGGCTGGACACCGGCGTGGGACTGAAGACCACAAGCGTCACTGAGAGCTTATACCCAGCGCGGCCTCACCAGCGCCGCCAGCGCCCACTCTCTCTGTCTCTGTCGCACACTCGCGTATCGCTGTAGATAGAGAGAGAGCGCGCAGCGACAGGTGAGCAGAGCCAGTCCCTTCCACCTGACCACTCACCGCCCCTCCCTCCCCCCTCTCCAGTCGGGCCGGCCGGCGATACCCCACACAGGCCGCGGAGACACCTTGCTAGAAGGTTCTGCTGCAGCCAGCGCTACCCCGCGACTTGCCTGTGTTGCCCGCGACTTGCCTGTGTTGCGCAAGACCAGCGGTGACTAGCGGTATCGGACACAACATAAGGACAGATGTGTCTTATTATGGCAATTATTTTAACTGTCCACCAAAAAAGTACGAACAATATGAACTTCAATCCCGTCGGTCTCGTCTAACCATGGTCCCGTCATGAACAGGCGGGGAAGTCCAACGACGGCATGTGACCAAATTGCCCTGCCGGTAGTGACATGATGACCAATAAACAAACTCTAGGTTTTGTTTTAACGGGGATGCAACATTTAGTTGTCGACACGTTGTGAGTCAGGTGTAGCTCGGTGATAATGGGGAGAGCCCTGCGCCGGCTGCCGGCATGACTTTGCGGAATACGTCGGGCCACGTCGGGAGAGAGGCTGAGCTGCGCCCGGCGCTGACGTCACCGCGATGACAACGCCACTCAGGGCATAGGGCCGTCCACGCCACTACGCGGGAATGCCATGTGTGTCTCCAGCAATTTCATTGTTCTCATAATATTTCAGAGGATAAAATGGACGAGGGATGATTTGGGGCAACTACTGCACAGAGCCAAACAGGCTCAAACCATACATTTTCCCGGACTTTTCATTTTTAGAATTTCAAGTCTATAAATTAAGAAAAGGGGCAATAAAAACTGTCCGTTCGTCACGCGTGCAGAGTGAAAATTGTTTTGAAATTTCAAAACGAAATCAGGCTACCAAAACTTTAACTGTCATGAAATTTCAGTACTGTCATGAACCATGATTTTTCCAAGTTAGGCATTTATAACGTAGCAACTTTGGTTGATACAGGGTTGCAAAATGTCCTACTGCCTTTAATATCGTATTCGGACTGGCCGTTGCTGATCGCAGGACAGAACTAAGAATAGTCTATAATCTATCTTATCGATTTTGGACTTTGACAGGTGCATGGTTCGATCAGATTAACAAGATAAACATGTCTTGCAAGACGACATGTTGTCCTAGTGCCATCGCACCAGCTGCGCCATCCAACAACCACCTACCGGCGTCTGTGCTAATACACTTCCAAAGTAATTAAATGTTTCATGAGATTTCGGACGGCGTGGTACTCACTCGGCTTGATGGTCTTCCACTCGTCCTGCGAGATGCGGTTATCCTCGTACTGCACTTTGGCGTACGCGAACATGACACGAAGGTGCTCCGCGCGCCCGCGGATGGGGAAGTACGTGAGCTTGTAGCTGGGCATGGTCCTTGCAGTAGCAGTGAAAAAATATATTCAAACAAGACTTACTGTATTTTTCACAATTTAAATAAATTTATAAGTACAAAAATTCAAATGGAATTCATGGAGTTAAATATCGATATACAGGTTGTCACGCAAGTTGAAAAGAGGAGAAAAGAGTGGGGCAAGGGAAAGTCGCTACTTTGCTACTTTGCAAAGTTGGAGTAGTGTTACATAGTAAAATATCAGTGGGGTTCCAAAGAGGGTGAGGGGTAAGGGTGTGGAGGGAAGAGTTGAGATGGTAAGGCGGTCGCGGGTAGAAGAGGGAGCAGAGAGGTGAAGGGAGGCGCTGGGTGAGTCAGAAGGAGACAGACAGACGGACGGACAGACATACAGAGAGACAGATAGACAGACAGACGGACAGACGGACATAGGAGGGGAGAGGGAGGGAGAGGGGGGGAGAGGGGGGATCGTTACATTAACATTTTCATTGCGCCGTTTGTGGCCGATTCGGGACGGTTCTGGACGGCGATTTGGTGCTGGATTAGAGGGGCAGGCCCCGGATCCCGCCCCCCTTCCCACACTCTCCCCTTCTCCCTCACGCTCTCACTCACTCCATGTTTCTCTCTCCCTTTCTTCCGGTGATCGAGAAGGCCGTAGCGCCGGAGCCACTCGAGCAGGGCCGGCTGTATCCGGACAAACACAGCCGCTGCCGCGGAGGCCACCCTCAGGTTTTGCACGGAGGTCTGCTGCTCAAGTGAAATCCCTGCAGGGGATCTGATCTCTGGCACGAGTCGGGGTCGGGAGGTCGGGTCCGCCGTCCGGATCCAGAGGTGTTCCCCCCGACCCATAGATCCGGCGCCGGCGCTACACCAGCGTGGTGGCGGTGACGGCTGACGCTACGGGCCAATCGCAATGGGGAGGTGGTAGGGAGGGAGATGTGGAGAAAGGAGGGGCACCACATGACGTCACGGTCACGACTCGAAATATTTCTGGAACGATGACATGACTGCAGTGCCATGACCGCTAACCCACTATACCGTCAGGGCCAGGGCGGCTCGGCTGTCGGGCGGGTTTGCCTATCGACTCGGCCGCAGACTGACGGCGCCGCAGTGGGTCGGCCAGCCGACCGATTCAGAAGATCGCTTACGCATGGACAACTTGCTCAGAGGGCGAAGCGTGAGTGGGAAACAAAACAAAGCACCATAACCCTCAATAAAAAGTGCTTCAAATCGCGGTTTTAGTTCTTTTCTCGAAGTGCTATGAAAATGCACTGATCTTTATGGGGACTGCACATTGATTGAAACCATGTCAAATGCTACTTTCTATCCGTAACGTGTAGTTTTCGTGTAGTGCCTTTTGCTTTGTTGTGTTTTTATACGCCACGCTCCGCCTCTCTGGGCAAGTGGTTCGTTCGTATACTTCCCGTATAGCTCTGTTATGGGTGCACTCATACTCATATGGGGCAACGCCACGAGAACACTCTGTGGAATCTGGCCTGTCGGCTTTGAAAGTGCGAAGGCGGAACGAGGAAAAGAGCGAAGCGTGAGAGAAGCAAGAAAGGTGTTGGCGATGCGGGCCGAGAGAGATGGAGAGATTGAATGGGAAAGGCCGCCCTCACCCCCGCCCCCTTCAAATCGCCCCGGCATCCTCTGTGACCCCCCCGTTTACCATACTTAAAACGAAAATTGCCCTTATCTTTAACATAAGCCGCCCACGCCCCCCCCCCCTCCACCCGCCGCAGAGCCCCACGGAGACGTATAGTAGTAGGCTTTGCGGACCCCCTTGACTCCATAAAAGTCACTTAGCGTCATTTCGGGCCGACCACGCACGCGCACACGCGCGGGCCGCCGGCCTTCAAGGGGGCACGCTGCACAGCAGGGGCGGGCCGGGGCGGGCAGGCTACTGTGTACGCAGTTATGCCCAACCCACCAACCCCACTCCTCCGCACCCCTCCGGGGCCTCAGCCGGAGGCAGCCTGGGCGAGCGTAGCCGAGCCGAGCCGAGCCGAGCCGAGCCGAGCCGAGAGTCCTCGTAAATCAAAGAGACGTATCAGGATTAGCTATGAGGGACGCGCGCATATACAGCGTGCGCCGCAAGACACTGTCGCGGCTGGTAGCGGGGCGGGGCGGGCACCAGTCGGGGGTTGGGCACGCGGCACAGCAGCATGCACACACTGCTAGCCATGTCGAGGGCGTCGAATTTATCTTCAAA